AAACTGTCTGTTCCTCCTAACCCTCCGCTATTTACCACCACTGGGCTTTGCCCAACCTGTGGGAAGGCAGGCAGGAGCTAAGCCCAGCCAGGTGACAGTGGTGGGGATGGAGAAGTGCTGGGGGCTGCTTCCACTCGGGGTAGGACTGCTGGCAGGGAAGATGCTGATGGAATGATTCTCCCCATATCAGTGATGGAGAGTGCACATCCTTCTGTTAAAACTTCCCTCTGATTTTTTTTTTTCCTACAATTTTTCCCAATTTTTAGTCCAGTTTCTATTGCCCTGTTAATCAGAAGATCCCTGGAAACTTACTTAGGCACCATCCAGGCTGTTGTTTGGGGGTGGGAGATGGGTAGTGAAAGGATGAAGGCAACTCTACAGCCTCAGATTTGCAGTCGCGTGGTAAACAAACCACGGGGTAAGGCTTGGAGCCATTTTACACACAACTCCTACCGGTTCTTTTTTTCCCCACTCTTAAGCTGCAAAATGTAAATCACAACACAAAATTATTTTATTTATGAATTTTTTTCTAATAAACAGCAATTTCTGCCATGGAGTGAGCAAGTGTTTTCACTTAGCTCAGCAAGCCAAGCCCACGATCTGCCTGTTCCTGCTCTAATGCTGATGTTCTTAAGCTCAATGTCCTCCCTGCCCCTCGATGCTGGCCCAGCAGAAATACCTGCACACACAGCGTCCTGCACATTTTGGCATTCCCATGGGATTTGTGCTCATCTTTTTCACTCCACGAAGAGCATGTGTGTGTGTCCTGCTTCCTCTCCTTGCACTGCACCTCTTCCAACCCTCGCCTAAGCTGTGGATACAGCAGTTCAGAGCTGCTGGATCTGCTTTAGCCAAGCTAAGCCCAGACCAGCATCAACAAGACGACCTCTATTTATTACTGTTGGAGAAATCTTATTGTGCTGAAAGCCCAGACTCCACATGAGCAGCCTACAACTAAGCCATCCTTACAAGTCCCTCTGCTCTGAAGCACCACTGCTCGTACCTGCCCAGCCCCTGAGACCACTGCCACTTTTCCTGCAATGAGGTCCATAAACAAGAGCCATATGCTCTGCACCTCCAGGCATCCATCCAGGGTCCTGCACATCCTGGGAGCAGGACACTCCTGCCTGCAAAGTGCAGCCTTGGTCCCCAGGTAGGAGGCTTCTCAACTTAGTAACGCAGTCAACACCAAAGCAGGAACATCTCTCCTCAGCTGAACATCTTGGTCTTCTCCATCCCTCTGGGAGAGCTGGCCACAGCTGCAGGAACAGAGGTAGCTCGGGCTCCTGGGGCGAGGACAGACTGCAAAGGTGATGATGGCACATCTGTCAGTGCTCTCGCAGCTGCTGAGATAAAGACTTGCACAAGAACACAGCAAGAAACAGAGTTGTACTTCATTGCACAAATGATCGACTCCGGTGCGTAATGGGCTGCATTCATTGCTCTTGCCAGCAGGTGCAATTCCCACTGCAGATAATAACGTTTGCCTATTTATGTCAAGCCCCGATTACTGTATTATATGTAAAACAGGGATTTCTTGCAAGCAAAACAAGGTGTGGAGGGGGGAATAATCAGCTGTGACTCATCCAAGTCAGCAGTGTGATACCAGCCTGAAGGAGCCGTGCTGGGCTGGACACCAGCTGGCTGCTGTGCTCTGCAACAGCCAGCCCAGCCTCCTGGTCATCCTTTTTCTTGGAGAGGGGAGAGAGGCAAGAGCTCCCAGCTCAGGCTGGATGCTGTCACAGCCCTCAAACCCTTACACTGTCAAAACACATCCACAGAGAACAGAAATACCAAGGGTGTTGTAGGCTGGATGCGTTCCCCAGCAGACACAGTCCTGTGCTCCTCCGTTAACGTGTCTCCTCCACCTCTTCACCAAGGACGCAGTGAGAGCTGGCAGCGAGCACAGGGGTGACCTACACAAGAGCCTGGCTGTGCCTGGAGCCATGCCAGCAGGCAGCTCGGGAGGAACAAGCTTTTCTTCCTGCCAGCAGCAAGCTCCAGTGGTCGGCAGATTTGTTTTCCAGTTGTTGCTCGTCCTCAGGCTTTCCCCAAGGACAAGGCTGCACTCTGGCTATCGATTCTCCTAGTGCTTTTTGGGCTTGGGTCAGGCAGGTTCACAACCTGCTCATGTTGGGAAAGCATCCTGGCCGGGCACACCAAGCCATGGCACCCACGAGAGCCAGGGCTGATGACCACGCTTCCCGAGAGTGGAGGGGAAGGAAGGTGGCTGTCAGCCCCGCAGCAGAACCAGTGCTCTCACACATGGCTGCTTGTCTCAGCCCTCAGTCAGAAGCACAGAGACTTCTTTTTAGGGTGCTAGCACCTACCAGTGAGTCCCTGGGCCCAGCTGCTGACAGGCAGCAGATTTCCAGACCTGCACTGGAGTGCAGGGTTTGTGCTTTTGCAGCCCTGTTCACAGAGACTCTTCTCCTCCCAGCTCCAGGACTTTCTCCTCCTCTAAGCATGGTGAAGGTTGAGTTGCCTTTCACTGCTGAACTTCCACCTGGCCCATTCCTGATGCTCTTTTCCTCCTGAACTAATGCTCCTCCATTCCTCTGACAGACAGGACTGACCTGTCTCCCTCTTCTCTCCTCTACACTGTCACTGTCACCTTGCTGCTGTCTTTCCAAGCAGGAGCTGAAGCAGATGATGCTGAATTTCCTGCTCAGCACGGCAACTGCAATTGTCCCCCAGGCTTCACCAGTGTCCCTGCTCAGCCAAGCCTGCCCAGCCCCACCTCTGGCACCTAATGACCATCCATTACCTGCTGACACACAAAGCCTTTCCAGCCCTGACTCTCTCCACTTTGTTCATATGTAACCCTACCTCTAATTCCAACTTTGGCCAACACATCCATCTGCCTCCAACCTATTGCCTCAGCACAGGCCAAGCATTTGTCTCCTTCAACTGTCCCCTAAAGAAAATTGACAACTTGGGGTAGGGAATTAAAGCCAACGTGGTATTTAGGTGCTCAATGGCACAAGGTACCATCTCTTTAAATCCCAAACAGGGAAAAACAGAAAGATGAAATAGTGAAGGGGTTAAAGCAGTTTATTCACAAGCAGTCGCCAAAGAAAGCAGTGAAGGGGTATTTCAGAAGCCAAGAGAGGAGAGAGGAGTGCCTCTCTCCAGCACCATGACCTCTCTCACAGCACAGGGTCTCGAAGCCAAGAGTGGCCTCACACAGCCACCTCTCAGCATCACGACTGTGGGCAGGTCAGTCCCCGCTTGCACTACCATAAATATCCACTTCTTATACAGGAAGGCACAGCTTGGGTTGGAAGAACACATACATGGTCTGAGCACCAGATCTACCAGACAAACAGCTTGGACAAGAGCTATCCCTTAAGCATGTTCCAAATACACCAAGGAAGCAGCACAGAAAGGCTGGGAGATGGGCAAGCTGGCTACACCAGGCTGGGTCAGATGCTTGAAGAAGCCCAAGCAGCCACCACACTGACCTTAGCCCAGCCTGCCTCCCAAAAACACATCGCTCACCCGCAGCCAACGGTCAGCTGGACACTGCACCAGGGACAGAGAGGCAAGAAAACCCAAGGAAAACATTCCACTGAAGATCAATTCAAGCTCCAAAATGCTGACCATAGACCAGGGCAAGTCTGAAACCAGAAAATGCTTTATTGGAAAGGTACAAAAAAACCAGTCACTGCAGCTAAATTTACAGCAATAAATTACGTTGTGGCTGTCAAGAGAAAGTAATGGACACATACACAGGGCTATTCGCCTTACAAACAGGAATCCACATTGCTTGGTATATCAATAATTTATTTTATAATAAAAAAGCAGCACAAAAATAAATATTGAAATGAAATTACTGAGTAACCACAGAGGATAGAATGAGCTGGTGATAAAAAAACAACTTAAAACAGAAGACTTCTATCATTAAAAAAATGAAAGCAAGTATCCACCATCTAGAGAAACACCCCAGCAGACTGAAATACAGACGAAGGAAAACAAATCCACATTACAAAAGTTTTTTGTTTTTGTTTTGTTTCTTTTTTTTTAAATAAAAACAATCATGACAATGAAGTTTAAATGATTTGAGAGAGAAAAAAAATGCCACCTTCTCCTCCTCCTCCCCGGGTCTGAGCCGTCCAGTGGCCTGACCGCTCCGTGCTCCCATAGCATCACACCCAGCCCTGTCACAGGCTCACCTGAGCACCCGCTCACCTGCCAGCACCTTGTCCCCTCCCCAGCTGTCCCCAGAGCTGCGGTGTCACCCAGGTCTCTAAGGTTGAGCTTTGCACCCTCCTCCAGTAGAGTTGGGCAAAAGCAGAGACACCGATTTGCTTCCAAGGGATCTGGAGCTGCCCTGGAGGGAAAGGATCCCCACTCCCAATGGGGAGCACAGCAAACACATCTACAAGAACAGATGTCCCTCCCTGTCCTTGCCCAACCCCTTCATCTTCTCCAGCTTCCCACCCAGCCCACGGTTCCCAGGTCACACTGCGGATGGGGAGCAACCAAAGAAAGGCCAGACCCAGGGGAGCGGATCTCAGCACTCAAATCCAGAGCCCCCCACTCCTCAGCAGAGGACAAATTGAGAGGGGCAGAGAAGGGAGCCCCAGCATCCAAACTACTGCAGCAGAGAGACAAGTGAGAGGTACGGCTGCGGGGAAGCAGAGACACCCGGGCAACTGCTGCCCACGCAGCATTCGCCCTGGGTGTCAGGCTTGCAAGTGCAGGACGGAGAGAAAAAAAACAAAACAAAACAAACAAAAACAAACCCAACAGAAACAAACTGAACCCCAGAGGAATGCAATGTGACAACCCCAAGCTGGAGGGCCCTCCAGGGTGGAGGAGCTGGGTCTTCAACACAATCAACAGCTTTCAGGTCATTCCTCCCTCCACGTTACCTTGCAATTCTGATCCCTCTGTGGAAGTTTAGCCAGGACATTTCATTCCCCTCCAGGTCACCACCCAGGGAGCCCTGGACTGGCAATTTCTTTTAATAAAGATTTACAGTATCAAACTTGGAAAAAAAATTATTATTAATTTTTTTTTTTTTTTTTTACGAAAAATCTGTACGATAAAATGTATATAATTATATATTTATATATATATTTCTCTCTCTTTAAATATTTCCACGTGGTCCTTATGGATATCCAATATGGATTACCTACCATGGCTATGGTATCAACAGCTTTAACAACACCCAGGCCTCTTGTTCTTTAGCGAGTGACCAGAGATATAAGTGCCTACCAGCACTAAACTAGCAACCACTTGGACAAGCCTTTGGCACCCTTCCAAGAACTGGAAAAAAAAGAAATACTTGGCCACAAGGGACGTGCCACGTAAAGATATGTTTCTCAACTCATTCCAACAGCAAGACGACCCCACGGAACAACGTTCGACCTCTGTCCCCCTCGATGCAACTGGTCTGATTTCCCCGGCGGGGGGTCAAGGGCAGCCAGAGGGTGTTCCTATCTAGCCAGGAATGTTATGGAGCTCTGGAGCTGTTTTAAAGACTGGAAGCATTTGGGCATTTTTCAAGTCAACTGGCCTTTTTCATTAAAGTTTTCATTTAAAGCCCTAACAGTGCCAGGAGTCTCCATTTTGCCTGTTTTCAGAGGCACCTGTAAGGTCTGGGAAAGTTTCCAATGTCTGTGAGCTGGAGAACACGAGAGGACCAGGAAATGACAGTAACATCTTTCTCTTCCTCAGCTTCTGCTGTGGGAGTCAATAACTGGTACTGATACACAGGACATCGATCTGCCTGTTTGGAGATAGGGAAGGAGTGGAGGAGAAATGAGGTAACGCTAAGTGTCATCCAAACTCTACGTGTTGGAAAAATCACTTGAAGGAAACTCCCTGCTCCCCTCCAGAACACGTAGATCTGGCAGGGGGAACGAGCCTTCAGGAAGCGTTTCACTAACACCCTTTCTGGCTCAGTAAGGTCACGGATGTCAATGTTGAGGACTGAACGAGAACCAAGTCTGAGGTTTCTCTTTTCATTAACCTATTTCACAAAGGACCCTCCTGGGAAATCCAGAGACTCCGATGACAAGGTGAGAAAAAAAAAAATTTAAAAAAAAAGGCAAGCTAACAACTTCTTCCAAAGACAAGTAGGGCTTCAGTAAACTTCTACAAACTTACTGCCATTCAAGGCAAGACAAAGCCTCAAACAACTAATGATACTGGGTGTCAGATACCAGTTCACTGTCCCCTTTGCAACAACGGTGGCACTCGATTATTCTCTTTCAGTCCAAAACACTCATGAACTCTCCGTGATCTTTGTTTGCTATTCTGGAGCCCAAATCCTCTAAGTTCTTCTCCTCACCTTAAACTTCAGCAATCTCATTCTCTTCTCACCTGCGTGACAACAGGCATCGTCCATTCCACAAGTCTCTGACCTGCCCTGCAAAACTCACAGTCCCTTTTCTTTCCTACTTCAAAAAGAAGAAAAAAAAAAAAACCAAAACAACAACAAAACACACAAACCCCAACATAGCTACCTTTTCTTTCCTACTTCAAAAAGAAAAAAAAAAAAAAAACCAAAACAACAACAAAACACACAAACACCAACATAGCTATTTTTTTTTTTTACAGTGACCTGGAAACATTCGTTTTTTCAGCGCTGCTGCGCAACAGCAGAATCTCTCCTTTCAGCTTCCCACCTCCTGCCCATTGCCGAGCCAGAAATCCCTCTCCCAAACCACTGCTCAGAGCCATAGGAACGACTTCTTGATCCCAATTTTTCCATCCCCTACACACATACACCAATTTTCCATCCTGCTCTCCGTGTGCCTCTCGGGATAATTCACCCATTCCCAAGAGAAAACATCAAGTTTCAGGGTCACATTCACACAGGTTGTCTGAACACTGAGGGTTGTTCACTGTACTCTTTGGATCCCAACTTCAGCACCTGACATGCTATGGAGAGGAAAAGACTCTTCCAGCTCCCATCCAACTTCCCCATAGCCCTTCTCTAGTCATCAAAGACCGGTGAGCCCAGCTGGGATGTTCACTGCTAACCTACCAATGCTTTTGTCAAAGAGGAAGCTCTGTAATTCTCTCCTCCCGTCTGAATGCTATCACCTTCTAGAGATACACTTCAGTGCTTTAAAAACAGCTTTCCAAAATAACTCTGCACAAACCCTTTCTCCTAGTGCTGATCCCAGCAGAACTGTCCCACCTTCTCACTGCCAGTTCTGCCTCCACCTGCTCATACTTGCAGCATTTTTCCTCCTCATCTCCCCTTCTCCACCTCATCACACAGCTCTTCACAGCATTTACTGTGCCTCCTTCCCTTCAGCTTCAGGGAATCCAGGAAAAAAAGAAAAAAAAGCCACTACTTCAAGACTGTGGATCATTTGGAAGAAATAAACTGCATAAATATACCCAATTCACAGGCACACCTTGGGGAAGGAGCTATCAGGAAACTTGGGCTTGGAATATAGGAGGCTGCAATGTATTTTCTTATAGGCCACACAGGTAATGGGGCATATTAAAATATGTAAAATAGATATATTTCCATATTTTAACAGCATGGATTGAAAACAAAAGGTTATTCCTAATGGGTGTGGTCAGACCCAAGCATTAGTCTCCAGTGTCCTCCCGCTCCCATCCACTCATAGCAGGATGAAACCTAATCCAGAAAGCCTATATCCCTGCCCTCGTAGTATCAGCTGGAAGTAGGGAAGGTAGGGGAGACCCTTCTTACGGGGAGTAGGATGCCACTAAAGGAAACTCTTTTTTCCATACATTCATCTCACATGATGATTTCTACAGTCCATCTGTTTCCTGGCTCTTGAGCATCATTCACGAAGACTCCGGAGGCTCCTCAGGTATCTTCTCCCAGCTGGAAAGCTGCCCACGGCTGAGAGGGATGAGAGGAGACAGGGAAGGAAGAAGCAGATCTTGCAACTTGTACTGCATACAGAGCTCAAATCCTGGACACAACAGGTTGATGGAGCCACCAAGTCCAGACAGAAGCAGCCAGTTAAGTTCCCTTTGTAGGTTTGGGGTTTTTTTTTTTCTTTTCTTTTCTTTTTTTTTTGTATTTTTTTTTTTCACTTTTGGAAGAGAATTGTTAAAATGCCAATTCTTGACTTGACCAAGGACTCCGGAACAATGTGTAAGAGCCTTTTCCCCTCCCCTCTGAAAGGCTGCTAGTTCCCCCCCACCGAGGGCACACTAGGACGCTGCTGAAAACGGCACAGAACTGGATGAGATTTCGGCAGATTTCACAATGGTGATGACACTGGTGGTGGCAACTTTGGTCGGGGTAATAGGCCCTCGCGCCACAGTACGAGCAAAGGTCTGGAGTGCTTCGTACTTGGAGCGCAAGGCGTCCAGCTCTAGCTTCATGCTGCTGTTTTCTCTGGCCAGCTTCTCCACCTCTTGCTGCAGCTCAACCCGCTGCCTCTCTAGCTCCTCTTTCTGAGTCACGCGCTTAATGCGGCAGCTGGCAGCGTAGCCCCGGTTCTTCAGCGTGCGTCTCCGCTGCTTCAGACGGATGACCTCCTCTTTGGTGAGACCCCTCAGGTGCTGATTCAGCTCCCGTACGGACATTGACACGAGTTCATCATCACTCAGCACTGGGGCATTCTCTCCTGACTCCTCCTTTACCTGCAAATACCAATAGCACAAGGGGTAGCAGCAACCCTTATGTGAAGGGATGTTCTGGATAGCAAAAAGAGACAGGCCACCCCTCAGCAATGTGACACCCCTACCTGGAAAACACCCCTGAAGCACTAGAGAACACATGCTCTGCTAAAACATCTGAGTAACACATGGCAGAGATCTCAGCACTGCTCTTGTCTGGGTTTGGGTCACCCTCTTAAGTCAGAGAAAGCAGTGAGCCTTACACGCCTAGTGTGAACTGAACAGTTAAGACCTTTAAGGAGATAAAGGTAAAGCAGACTGTCCCTTTGTCAGGACCCAGAATTCATGATGAATGTCAAAGATGACACCTTTTCCCAGCATTATGCTGAGACACCAGTGCAGCATCTCAAAAGCAGAATAGCCACTTATATGCAGGATTTAATTCAGCATTTTGTGGCTTTCTGTTGAAGACTGCTTGTCCAAGTAGTGAACAAAACCAACCCTGCGTGGCTTCAAGGACCACAGCCTGATTTGGTTTTCCTGGCGCACTGGCTGGGCTCTAAAGTTACATGAGAAAGACACCGAGGCCTTGTGCCTTCTTCTCAAGCAGGTTTGAGGCTACAGTTTTTCAGAATCACAGAATCATTTAGGTTGGAAAAGACCTTTCAGATCATCGAGTTCAGAACCTTTAATACATCATCCTTTTGTCTCTTCAGAGACTGCAGGACACCTGGAATGAAGAGCTAAGACACTGGAAAGAAACTGTGACAATGCAGGCACAACCCATGCACAGATACCCACCAAGCTGGTATGTTCGAGGCATTTACTGTCTCACAGATCTGAGAGACACCAGCTGGACACGTCCTTTCCCCAGTGCTTCCCAGTCCTGAGAGCAGAAATACTTCATTAACAAGCATGGGAGCACTGGTTTCAGGATGCTGCCAGTACTTGCTATAGTCAAAAGTCTCTTGGATAGATAGCAACTGGGATAGGCTAGCCTCCATGCCACCCCAGAGACTTTAGACTTCTTTCTGAGCATTGCTGGTGTTCTTCTATCCTAACCTTTTCTGCAGACAGTGGGAAATTTTATCAACACCCATTTGTAAAAGTCTCTCAGGATGAAAAAAAGCCAGTCATGTACAACCAGTGTCAGACAGAGCGTGGTTCTGCGCCAGCCTCCCCTGCCACCCAGCATTGCCCACTCTTCCCTACCTTTAATGCCTTGTTCGGTTTGGGATTAGTCGTCATAACCTGAGCACAGTCTTCCGGACAAAACTGCTCAGAAATTGCAACTGGAAAAAAACAAAACAAGATTTTCAGGTTACAGTTGTCTTGGAGATGAAGGTAGGAAGAATATACCCAACACATGGCCCAAACCCCCAACCCAACCACCATCAGAAGAAATAACCACACAGTTGTTCAAAACGCTGAGGTGGATTCAGAGATCAGTTTACTCCTTTCAGGTACAAGAAAGAGAAATTTGTGTTGACAAGTGCATTGCTTTGTAATGCTAAAAACCTCATATTTTGCTCTTAACTACAGTAGGATTAAGCAGGGAAGACAGGGCAGGGAAGGAGGAAAGGACACCAGCTCCTGTCTGTAAACATCAGTTACACCAACCACCGGACATCGCCTTGTAATGTGCCACCCTTCTCCAGGGAAGCACAGAGTGTGGCATCCCAGGGCCAGTCACCCACTCACCTCCCTCCAGAGGAATCCCAGACGCTCCAAACAGCCTATTAGGGACTGAATTAAGAGTTACCTCCGCTCATAAAAGGCACCGAAAAAGCCACAAGACAACAACTCGCTTCATTCTCATTTTGATTATGATTAACCCAACTCCAAATTGAATCAGCAACCCAGAAAGACACTGCCTGGTTTGTAACCTGCTTTCAGTGCTGCCCCCACCCAAAGGAGACGCTCCCAGAAAACCCAAACAACAGAAACAAAAGCTCCCCCCTTCCCGATAACAAAGCAAGGCAGGAGTTCACCTCTCCCAACACACCAAGACTGTTGCTTCCCAATCCTCTCGGTGCCAGGTTGCGAGAGCTGACCTGCTTGATATTTCTAGTGACATGGAGACATGTCCACCAAGAGAGAGACGCTGCCCTTCGCTCTCACCTTAACCGGCGACTACACCCCTTCGATCAGTGCCTTGCAGAAAATCCACCTGCCCACACCTCCACCCAAAACCTTCACCCCACGGTGACGGCAGCACGGCACGCTGGTCTGTCAGGTACCTACCACCAGCGAGGCGACCGCAGCCGTGCCACCATCACAGCCTCTGCCTACGGCTCCCCAGCGGGGAGGGGACGAGGTGCTGGTCCCCCCACAATTTACAGCAGCTCCCAGGGCTGCACAGCCAGCAGCACCGCAGAGCACACAGCCTGTCTGGCGGGAGCCCTCCCTCTCATTCCCCCTTCTCCAGCCCAAACCCTCCCCATTTCCACGTCTGCATCGTGTCACACATCCTAATCATTCATGAAAAATCCAGCCAAAGCATCCCAAGCATGATTCCCTTCTGATAGTTGCCATGGTGACCTTGGGGAAAGTAGCCAACCCGGAGACAGTCGTCATGGAAACAGAGAAGCCCAAAAGCAATAATGACTTCAGGTCATGTCTGTGCAAAGACATCACGAGGTCGTCGGAGAGTAAACAAACTCATTCATATCTGCAAACAGGGGGTGGCGGGATTTGGGGTGTGCAAAGGTGGGGTGTGGGCACCCGCGGGAGCTGTGTGGGTGAAGGTGCTGGCTCAGCCTGTGCTGCTGTCACTTGAATTTTATCAGTGGAGATATCTCATCATCAGACGACTGACGTAAAAAAATCAAGATGAAGAGCACGGGATGGGGAGAGGAAAAAAAAATAATCCCGTAAGCACAAAGCTGCAAGATACTATCCTAGATATTAGGGAGTGTATTTAGGCATCTCCTCTATTTTTAAGCCTGAGACAGCAGAGCTCTCCATGTCTGGAGGAGGGACAAGGACAGCCGCACAGCGCACAAGCCAAGATGCTCTGTGATGAATGGACCACTTACAGCAACTGGTGTGCGCTGCATTTTCTAGAGCATCACTGAGTCCTTCCTTCCTCTCCTCCAGCACCAAGCCCCACTCTGGGCACACCTCACCAGGGTCCTCGGAGCGGGCTGAGGATGAGGCAAGGGAGCAAGTCCCAGTCCCCAGCAGCCACCTCCAAGTGGGATGCACCCGACCTCCGGTCACTGCCCCACTGTGTATTTTGCAGGAGGGCTGAGGGCAGGATCTCCTGCGAGCGCAGGTGCCTCTTCAGACCCCAGCGATGCCCTTTCACCATCCATCGCTGCCCCTTCACGCCGGGCACTCGTGGCCCATCCCTACCTAAGGGAGCAAGTCCCAGTCCCCAGCAGCCACCTCCAAGTGGGATGCACCCGACCTCCGGTCACTGCCCCACTGTGTATTTTGCAGGAGGGCTGAGGGCAGGATCTCCTGCGAGCGCAGGTGCCTCTTCAGACCCCAGCGATGCCCTTTCACCATCCATCGCTGCCCCTTCACGCCGGGCACTCGTGGCCCATCCCTCCCTCCAGACCAGAGGCGCAGACGTAGGCGCTAGCACGGAGGAGGAAGGAAAAAGTTCTTCGGAGGAAGGAAAAAGCTCTTCATCTGGGCCAAAGGGTCCCGGGGAGTTCAGGAGAGCCGAGGAGCTGCCAGTGGGTAAAGGAAGCGGCCGGCAGCCCCCTCCCTGCAGAGGCAGAGCCAGCCGCAGGCAGTTGGTGCCATAGTTATGCAGTGAGTCACCAGCTGTTTACAGAGTTCCAGAGCTCACATTCCCACAGCATCAGAAACTCTTCCTTCCCTCGGCATCCCCCTCCCTCCCCGTCCCCATCCCTACAAGGGAAGGGGCACGCTGCTGCCGTCCCGCTGGCGGCACTCCGGGCTGCGAAAACCGGAAAAGGAAAGTCAAAAAGGAGGGGGAAGAGACCCGTCACACCCACCGATTACACAAAAACCCTTTTGATCCTCACCCAACGCGTCTTCAAAGCACTTTCTGCACCAGCCGATGGAAAAACTGAACAGGGCCGCTTGGCTGCACAGAGATGGAAAGAAATGTAAAGTATCGTGGAAAACGAGGCGAGGGGTGAGGTTGCCTCTGGTGGGGGTCAGCATGTGGGGCTCATCTGCCACCCCAAGCAATGATCCAGCTCCATGGGACCAAACCTCTTCTGGTCACCTGTCGCTCCATGTCACCAAAGCAACATCTCCTTACCCTGCACATTCCTCGGGGGATGGCACAGACGCCCTCGTGCTCAGTACGGGGTCTCATATGGCACGTCTGTTTCCTCATGCACACCAAAGCACGCTGGAGTGGCCAGCATCCCCCCTGAGATGGGCTGGGATCTGTCCCAGCCCACCCCTGGTGTGATGGGTCAGAGCTGCTGCTGGCAGAGAGATGAGCAAGGAGCTTCTGGGCACCATCAGAAATCATGACACTGGTCCCTGTCAAAACGAGGGTGGGAGATGGGGGTCTGCCCCAACCCTAAGAGTGGGATTTTGTAGTAGAAGTAGAAACACTCAAACAGGCTTGAGTCTTGCACTCAGACATGAGTGCCAGGGTGAGTTTTATCTCCGCACTAGGTGAACCCACAGGTGTGGTCCAGGCTCCGCTCGAAACCGATACAACACTCGCAACCCTCACCAACAGTCCTCCAGGGCCTCGGGCTCCATCCCCATCTCCCCACCTACAAAATCCTTCCCATCAGGACTATTCAGCTACCAACAACAAGCAACTAAAATCCACACGGCATCTCCCACTGCTAGAAAGGAAAACCCCACAACAAAACCATAAACCATCCTGCAAACATGTCACACCCAGCAGCATCCCCTAAATATGCTGCACAAGGGTCTTCTGGGACCCTGCCTGCGATTTGATTACTAGAACCCTTTTAGTCTTTACCCTCTTCCTGCCCTTCTTTTCTTAATTGCGTTTGCTGCATCACGTCTAAAATTAGGAGCTCAGCTTTTTGGAACAAGGACCGCATTACATCTCTATTCTGTAAGCAGCACGACACACTTTGAACGCTACATAAATAAAGCGGTGAGTAGTAAAACACCGACTGTAAGGGGCAAAGGCTTTTCCAGCACAGCTCCACGCTTGGATTTGAAGCGAGTGTTTTGACTGTGGGTTACATAAAGAGCCCTTGCAATCCTGCAATAAAGTTACCCATTGACAGCCTTGCCAACGCCCTCTCCCTGTCTCAGATGACTCCTATGCTTCTTGCAGCATCCTCCCAAAGACCTGGAGGTCTCCAGTTGACATTCCAAGCCTGATGGTCCCAGCTTAACCATCTAGAGATCCCCAGTTCCTTTGCTTTGAAAGGGGAAGACAGCAGAAAGCCTGACTCAGGCAGAGGTAGGACAGAGCTTTCCACACAAGGCTTACAATTAAGAAAGAAAACATGCCAGAATGAGATTTCAGACTTTCCACGCTACAGGGCTTTTAAAGCACGTTACGCATTAAGGAATTACTATAAAGTCACTGCTGACACCCGACAACTGCAGATGAACTCGAATTTTAAAACTCTTTCTACACTGAAAGACAACCCTGGCCAGAACACGAGTGCCTGGCAGACAGCCCTGCTGGTGTTTAGCTTCCATCCTCAGACACGTACAACAAACTGAAAACATGCAACCCTCACCTTCAGCCAGGCCAGCGATGACTTCCAGAGGGCAGAAAAACAGCACAAGGTTCAAGCAGCGATGGGGATCTCTGCCATCAGGTCTCAATTCAGCACCAACAGTAAGGCAGGGAATGTTCTACTCATTCCCAAACGCAGTGATTTATTTCCCAGGCAGCTGTTTTAGTAAACTTACCCAAATTTCTCATTTATCCACAAGTTACTCCCAGCTCCAGCGTGCTGGCCAAACGGATGTGCCTAGCAAGGATAACATCAGAGCTGACAGGTGAAGGGAAGTACAGATGTTTAAATCTTCATCGCCGTGCCTCTGCCGCTCAGAGGTACGACACAGATTCCCAGCACATTGCAGCATGATAGGCAGAACACCATCCCTCTTCCCATCATTCAAAAAGCCATTCTCCTGCTCTGACAATCTTCACACATCCTGTAAGGCAGACTGACGCTTGTCACTCATTTGTAACGAGAGCGGGGAGGGACAGGCTGATGGTGTGAATCAGAGAGTAGAAGCATATGCAAGGCAATATATTTGACATGAAGAGAGAGAAGACACAAGGAGAGGGTGAGTCACTGTTTACTGTTCTAGAGAAGCTCCACGCAGCCCTCGCCCAGCTGGCCCG